CACGGTGGAAATAATCCGCACAGCGCGGATCTTTATCATCCGTTAATAATAACTGATGAACCTCACGGGGGATACGATACGCTCAGCGATCTTGCACAAAGTAAGATCAGGGTGTTGGCTGGCGTTGAACTGACTAGAAGAGGTCGACCGCGACCGACCGCGGGTTTGTATAGAGTCTTCTTACGCGAATCACACACGTTTATATAAATTTAGACACGAATGTTCGCAGAATTCTTTACTTGATTCGTTACTTTCCAGTTGGGCCGCTTTGCTTAAGCAAGCACAACGGTCGAGACAGAAGACTGGATGATAATTTCCCATCATTTAAAAAATTCAACAGAACGCTCGTGCAAGTCTGCGAACCAGGTAAAAAAATCTCTTTCGATTTTAAATCTTTAAATTTCTAAAACGTATGTTAAATGGAAAAGTTCGAAAATGTCACGTTTTCGAACACGCATGAAGACAAGTAACGGTTGTAAAAATTCTTTCATGTTCCTCTATCTCTCGTGTGCAGGAGAAGGCGGCACTTTAATAATAAGTCCAAACTCATCATGGCCCGACCTGGTATATTATCACTCATTCACGCACGCAAACATGGGCTGGAAAATTCACGTAGTCGATTCTTACACGAAGAACGGTGCAATCATACATAAATTATCATTGCTTATTGCAATTGCGATTGTATTTTGCGGTCTATTTTTATAAAGTTGAAAATTACTTGCAGAAAAATATTTCTATTATCAAATATTTTTCTGCAATTTATTTAAATATTTTACATAAGAACGCGTTAAATTATTTCTAATGAATTACTAATTCTTGTGCTTCAATGTGTACATATCGATAATGCATCACAAAGATACTAAATCATTGTACGTTGGTTTTATTAAAAAATTAAGAAACTCTAATGCAATAGTTCCTATAAGTTCTGCATTATCTGCAGATGTGCACGATTTAATAATGGATTACAATAACAGGATCAATTTTATATGCTCTCTTTATTTCACTATGTAAAAAAAAGCAATAATGTTATATTTAAATAATATTTAAAGAAACATTAATTTATATCATAAAAACAAAGAATTAGATAAAATGAAAGGATGTTAAACGTCCTCAAATTGTTGCAATAATTTTTTATTTCGTATACCATTAATTAGTTCAATAGGATATCGTGAGCATATAAAAGACAACATACATTACATTTGCAATGCGTTATATTCAAACGAGAAGATCGATGTGAGTATATTTCTAATATTTACGTGCTTAAATAAAGTGCCAATTATAACAATTCAAATCTTTTTTTTTAATCGCTTTGCAAAAGTTTTGCTAATGCAGACCGTGTTAGGATATACAAGAATGTGACGTTTGCTTCAACTGTGTATTTATAACGCATTTGTTTTCAATTTTATATTAATTAATATTCTCGCTCATATATTGTATAATTATATATTCATATATTGTATAATAAATTGTAATATTTTTAAACAAAGGTTTGTAATAGCCTCACATGTGATAATCACTATATTCGATAGTGTAGTTAAAAATTTACAGATTTTTATGCAAAACATCGATAAATCTCACTATTTATTTTTATTGACATTTTAAATATGTGGCATATCCGTCATATCCTTATACTCTTAAATAAAACGCTGAAATATACGAAAAGCAAGTTTTTTATATAATCTAGATTAAGTTTTTAAGGCTGATTCCAAATACTATATGTTACACATAAACTCTATCGGTTTTTATAATTGTGTATTAATTTCAAGATTGCATGTTTCAAAATCAATATTGTGTGATTGATAGTTTTTCAGCGTTTCAAATATATGTTATCAACATATTATCATTTTTATAAATCTTTATATTGCAGGTAATAACAAACAAATCTAAATTATAAAGTGAAACTTAAAAAGACTTAAATTACATACATGAAAAAATAAATTAGTAAGCAAAAGCCTTAATTAAAATTCAGATGTTGATAAATAAAGGAATTCAACAACTCTTACATTGTATTTGTATAATTCTCAATTATACTCTCCAGCGCAGCTTGGTGCTGGTTTTGCTTTAATTTAATATTTGTTATCGCATCAAGGATTTTTATAGATTAGATTAAGAGGAATGACGAATGCGAAATTAATTTTATTGGTCGGCTCTCTTGCCCAGCAGAGGCGGCGCGAGCGAACTTGTCATTATCACAGAAAAGTCAAGTTTTCCAAATGGAGTAACCTAGCAATTTGAGATATAACGTAATTATTAAACTTAAATAATTTTAGAGATTCATTTTAGAGATTTATTAACCATATAATATCAAAATTTGAAAATTATCTAATTTTGATGTGATAACTTATAAGGGACGTCACACAACTGTCCGGCACCGATTTGATTCTCCGTGAAATATATTGTTAAATACAAAAATCTAAGAGACAGATTTTTTTTTTGTTGACGTGTTTCACCCCTTAAACATGAGTTAGTGCACGTATAAAAAAATACGTGTCTCTTAGATCTTTGTGTTTAACAACATATTTTACGGAGAATTAAATCGGACAGTTGTGTGACGACTCTTGTTAGTGTGAAAAGCGATAATTCTAGAAATACGATTTATATAGCGATAAATAAAAAAATAAAATCTAAATTTAAATTAAAAATATAATATAAAAAGAAAATGTTCAATATCAATAATATTAAGATGCTTCATCATATTCATCAACATCTGAATTACAAAAAATATTTAGTAACATTAATATAAAATATATAATACAAAATGTGTAGAATAGAAAGGCACTCTATTAGTTTTTATATCAATTAATCAATAATTTAAACAGAATTATTAGATAATATTGTAAAAATCAATAGAAATGTTTCCATTAGACAAATACGTATCATAAAAAAGCACCATTCACAATATTTTTGAAAAAAATTTTAATACAACTCTTTCTAAAATTTAATAAATTAAAATTTCAATAAATCAAAAATCTTGCATCTAACGTTCTTATTCCTATACAGTTAGTTTGTATCTTCAAAAAACAATTCATATTGCCGCCAATGTTTATCTTTTCTACTGCATAGAGTATTTTTTTAAAATTAAGTATAATATATGTCTAACGATTTTTGAATGCAGATTTCTCTTAAGTAATATCTTGTAATATTTAAGAATGGCTGTCCAAGATTGCACGAACTCTTAATATTTAATTAGATTACGCAAGTCGCTGTACAGAAGTATTAAAAACGATTTTAATATTGTAAAGTATGTATACTCGTCGAGAAAATTAGTTTTTGTAGAAGCACTGTCTTCTCACATTCAGTCTTTTCACTTTGATGTCTTAAACTGCATGCGCGATATTTACAATTTGGATCACACTTAACAGGAGGATTCTAAAAATAGTACTTTCTTTATATATAATTAAAATTTTGACATGTTTCATTTCATAACATTACGTTACGTTTTTTTCTATGATGTTCTTATAATCTGCATTAACTAATTATAATTAATATACATATCATCATAGGCGCCGACTTGCGAAAAATATTGAGGGGGTACCGAGAAATATTGGGGGGGAACACAACAATATCCACTTTTTTGTGATGCTACTGATAGAAATAAATTACTGAAATAACTAAAATCTATCAAATTAATGGAGATTTTAACGATTTTAGCGATTTATTTCCATCAAGAGCATCGCAAAAAATGGATAATGTTGTGTAGTTGATACTTCTTCAGAAGACTGCAGTGCATAAAGTATTTTGCGGTTACAGGAAAAAGGCTCTCATGTCCTCTCTCAGGTTTCTCTTTGGTACGTGCAGGGACACTAGGGCTCCTATTCTGTAACTGTTTTACACGCCTACCGACAATTACAGAATAGGGGCCCAGGGACATGTTCAGATTCCCTGCACCTGAGTGCTCCCCGGATGTAATGTCATTTTTGTTGTTTAACAAACGTTAAACAAGGATGACATGACACCCGAGGAGCACTCTGATGAATCAGAACACACCTCAACAAGCGATTCACAATGGGTGCATTCAGTACTACAACCGCTCACTGAGTGCTTGCATCTTATTGGCATATTCCGTTAGAACTAAAAATGTAGCCCAAACAGATACAAGAGCTCACTGAGCGCTCAGTAAGCGGTCGTAGTACTGAATCCACCCAATCAGTACAATACAATAATCATCTGATCCTGGCGAACAACAAAAATGTAATGATATATTGAATGCATTCAGTACTACAACCGCTCATTGAGTGCTCAGTGAGCGGTCGTGGTACTGAATGCACTCACTGTGTCACACCGTGTCATCATATCGTCTCTTGTTGGAAAGCACCTTAGGACAGCAGATGACGTGCCATCGTCACCACTTTTAATTCGCCGCGTCAACGTTATGTATAGCGTATGTCATGTGACCAATGCTCTCTCACAGTTTCGATCGCAGAAATTATTTGCAATTGTTAAAAACCTTTTGTTAAAAAACCAAAAAGTAAAAATTATTGAGAGGAGGGCAAAAAGTGGTCTGTCCCCCTCCCGTAGTCGGCGCCTATGCATACCATTGTTTATTATTACATACGAAACCTTTGATATTGTCGTATCTCTAGCGAAAATTTTTCTCAGAATTTTTCCGTATAATTTTTCAGAATTTCTATATAATTTTATAACTTTCCCACATTTTTTTATACGAATTGGAATACTTCTCAGAAAATCTACATCTTTTCTCAGAATTTTTCATATATGTTACTTATGAAATATCGTCAGATTTCTTAAAATTTTTTAAGTATAATTTCATAAGATGTTATAAAATCTAAAAAATTAAAAAATATTTTTAAAAAATTGTGGGATGAGAAATTTCGGAATATTTCAGAATTCACTTGTATGAAAAATCCTGAGATGTAAACTTTCCGAATATTTCTGAGTATTTCTGAAAAATGTCCGATTCGTATAAAAATTATGAGAAAAATTTTCACCAGGAATATGTTGAAATTATAACAAAATACGTTGCAAAATTATTCTTAATAAACATTCAAATTATTTGAAAATCTTATTATCAATATTATTCTCTATGAAGTTCTAGAAAATAACGTAACGTAATAGGTAGTTCTGTACTACGAATTCCATATTTACAAACAGCTTGCGCAGCCTGACACTGAAGGCTAGTATAATTAAGGAGGTTGACGCTATTTAGTGAATTAGAGGATATCAATCGCGCTGGTGTATCTCCCGCTCTATTTGGTGTATCCAAGTGCGCGCCATAATCCAACAATAATTTTATCAGCTGTTACAAATATAAATTCATGAATCATTAAGTTTGATTTATATAAAATTCTATATAAAAAATAAATGTATAAAGAAAAATACTTACGGGATTGCGAAAGTTATATGCGTTACTTGCTACATGTAAAGGTGTTGATCGCATTATATTTCTAGCATCAACATATGCCCCACAATCTAAGAGTAATTTAACAACATCTAAACGTGGGAAGATTGTCTGAAAATATGCATCACATACTTCTATTATTATATATGTACATATATATATATATTTCCTCCATATATCTAATTTATAGTCGATTTTCCCATCAAACAAGTCCAGGAAACAATTTTTTAATTACAGAATATTAATTAATACATAACTGAAGGTCCATACTTACATGCATATCGTCGGCAGAAGTAAAATAACTAGAATTAATTGTATTTAAACTAGAAACGCAAAGATGGAGAAGCGTGTCCTCTGTATAAACAGTTCTTGGATTTTGTTTCACTAAACCACGTACTAGTTGATGCATTAGAGTTTTCTCTTCGTCAGAACTCGCCGTTTCTACTAACAGGTAAATAAGATGCGTCACGCACTTCAAGATGCGTTCGTAACTATCTCTTTGTCTCTTATGTACAGGACGCTTCTATAATATTCACATTTGTATAATTAATTGTACAGTAATAATATATCACAATGTAATACACAAAATTTTCTATAAATCGGTTGTATATATATGCAAATCGCATATACCTCCAGCAATTCTCTAGCTTCGGTCAGTTGGCTAGAAAGTAATTTAAATATCGCTACTACATCGCAAAATCGCGGTTCCTGCTTTTCTCGATTTCGATCCATCACTTCCAACGTTTTTTCATTCAAATCTACCATAAGCCTTACAAGAGCTTGTGCGGTAAAGCAAGTATCCGCATACAAGATCTGCAAAAAATTTGATCGTCAAAATGTGATCAATTTTTCATATACAATGATGGAAAAATCACGTCATCTATAACTATGATATATAAGCATTTTACATGTTTTACATACCGAATCCTTTTCTACCCTAATTTCTAACGCGCGACGCCACAGATCTATACAATTCTGATATCTAGAAAAGAAAATCTCTTACGATAAAATATACAATATAAATATAATATAAAATAGTTTAAGAAACTAAAATATTTACCTTAAGGCATCTGCATACGATGCACCTCTAAACATCAGCCGGAAGAGGGTATCCTTGTGATGCGGACCTAATATTCTTTCGCATATCAGCAGGCTTTGTATTCTTATTGTATCTAAATCGAGCGAGATAGCGCTTAACTCATCCAAATTCGAAAATTCCGTAGTGTTTTTATAAGCTTCGCGTTTTGGTAATTCAGGTCTCTTTGGTAAAGGCACTCCATCATCCGAGTTGACCATTCTGAGGATCATCGCTGCCCTCCAATACTGCAACGCCATGTGCGTATCATTGTGATCGTCAAAAAATGTAGATCCCATCAGTTCGTTTGCATCTGCCAATCTTTCCGCAGAATACGATACGTTTTCCACTAAATTATACATAATGTTATACATATCATGAAATAATTCAAGAGAATAAATTTCTTATAGAGATTTATTATTAAATAAGTAGATGTTCCAATATTACATTCCTACAAAAATCCTCTCACCTAAATAGTCAAATATCTGAATGGCTCCTTTAAGACAGGCAGTCTGGAGGGCATCATCATTATAACGAGATCTAAGATGAGGGTCTGCACTATGTTCTAAGAGCAGTTTAGTAGTTTGAAGTCTGTGCTCTTGTATAGCATAATGCAAGGCAGTTTTGTTCTGAATGTCAGTGGCATTTACATCCGCGCCATGTTCCAACAAAAAAGTACATAACTCCACACTTTGTACAGAATTTATCAAACATGTTCCACCGTTATAATTCGCTTTTAATATATCGGCGCCGTTTTCCACTAAATAAGAGACAATATCTGGAAAATATGTGTTATCCACATAAAGTCATTCTGTTAATCCAGATAACTTGTGTTATCTAAATGCAAATAATCATATTTATAATTAAGATTAGACTATATTATAAAAAATGTATTTAATATTAGAATGTTTTTTGTACTTAATATAAGAATGTATTTAATAATAGGAAAAGATATACATTTAATTATATGTATTATTACATTATATGTATATTTGATTCCTTTAATAAAAACGTCATAGAGTAATTAGCACAGATTGCAGCACTTGCAAAGAGTTTAAAAGTAGGTCTGACCTAGACCTACATACATTCATATTTTTAATCTAATATAATTTAATCGCAAATATACTATATTGCTTTTATTGTAAAATATCTACCTATTTAATATTTTGAGTGCAAAAAATTATGCAGGCGTTATTTTATTTTAATTGAAGAGATACAAGTAGATGAAAAATCATATATATGTTATAAAAGTAGAATAAAACTATTATCATTTCTGTTTTAAACTTCTCTTATTTAATACTATTTTTATCTTTTTCAATAATTTGATTAAAAATATCTACAGCACACTTATATCTAATATTATCTAAAAGCGACTTCTATCCACTTCACAAAATATGCTTTTAAAAGATATCTAATCTAACACATTATCTTCACATTTATGTATTCTATTTTCTCTCTCAATTGTATTCTAAACGAATTATATATATTTCGTTACCCATATGTGTCATAAAGCACGCAGATCTAACAGGAGTGGATCCAGAATCAGAGACCGCATTGACGTCAGCTCCATGGGATATAAGGCATTTTATAACTTCCAAATTTCCTGATACTGCAGCACACCATAGCGGAGTGACACAATGAACGGATCTGTCGTCCAACACTTCGTACCTTCCTCTTTGTTCGATGTCCGCGTCACATTTTTTTATGAGATATTCGACGATCTCCACGTGGCCCCTCTTGCAGGCGATAAACAAAGCGGTACAACCCTCTTTCTCACGAGACACAATATCTTTCCGCACTTCTCTTTTATACTTCTCCAAGCGATTCCTCAAGGCGTAAGTGAGTTGCGCTCCTGGTGCCACATATTTACATTCGTGAATAAGATCGTGAAATATCTGATCCATGGAAAAGTTCCAGCGATTATTATTGCCAAGCCACATTGCCCGCTTCCCAAAGCGGTTTAAAGTACAACACCGCTCCTTTTGATTTACAGACCTGAAAGGAATTTCAGTTTATGAATAAAACATACTCCAAAGTGACATTGGAGAATAATTACACATCAAGTCATATAAATATACTATTAAGTTTGTTCTTTGTAGCTGTAGCGTTATTCCTTCTACACTTAAAATTAATATAATTAGACACATTAAAGAGAAGAGAAAAAAAAATCAAAAGTTCAGTTACAAAGAACAAATCAATTTTCTGAAAGTAGCATAATACTTGTTGAAACAACAAAGAATTTTACAACTCATTCGTTTGTAATAATTGAATTATAATATATCGTATAAAATAATGTATTGATTTTTGCATAACTTTTTGGGCTTAGCAAATCTATTCTATGGATTCAAACTCAGAATACTGCAGACACCCCCCCTTCCATACAGCCACACGTTACAAACATAAGTATATAGATTTTGCATTCAAAGAACCGTGTAATTTCAATGTACATTGCTGCTATTATAAAGTCTACTGACTGATTCATGATACAAATAAGAGACTAGCTATGCTTTCCATTTAATAACACAAATCGAAACAAGTGTCGTTCTGTTGTTCATTGAATGTTAAGAAGGAATGACATTTGTCGACTTGTGTCACTAAATGGAAAATATCCCATATTGGATCCATCAAGATGCCAAAAGGACAAGAATCCAAAAAGTGTAGCAATATATTCTTTACTGATTTGATAGGAAATTAAGAAAATTGACGACCAAGAGACTCGAGAGTAAGAGAAAGAAAATATCGTACGTGAGTAAACGAATGAAAATACGCACTTACGAACTCTCATTCTTTCAAGGTTGCTTCTCGAGCGCGTGAAAAACAACGGCCGTACATTTCCGCGATTCTTCTTTCTCTCGGAACGTATGTTCGTTAAGACTTTTACGAAAATTCAAGGATACGAAATTGCGAGCGCACACAGCCGTGCAAGCACTCGTATATGCACAAACGTCACACGCACGAACAGCTGTGCAAGTAGACAGATGGAACATAACCTCCAAAGCCGTGCGACGAACCGACGACGCGCGATCGTCGCGTCAACCTGCGGAATGGATTTTGCGACGAGCAGGGAGAGACTTACCCATGTCATGCACGGTCACTCGTACGTAAACAGGCGTTCAATTCGAATGCATCAGCGATCTAGAGCACAGAATGACAAAACACACTCGTACATCACAGATGGCAATCAATAAACCACGTGATTGTCGGGGGTGAGGAGAGATCACGCGATCTGCAACGCGCAGTTTCCGCGCGCATTTCATTCGATTCTTTGAGTCGACCATGCTTGCATCTTTTTGGTTGGCCTTTTATTTCTTTCACGACATTGTGCAACGGGAGGCGACAATTGTATGTATATCGTTTGTTTCTATACTATTCCTATCGCTGTTCTTGTCGCTGTTGCCTCCGATCGCATTGTGTCTAGAACTTTAAGGGGATCCTAATTAAGGGAAGCCCGAACTCCGCCCTGTTGAAAATTCTTGTGAGTTTTTGTACCAGATTTTAAAAGAGATGTACGTGATCAATCAAGATTACTAAATGAACGTACATGATCATATAAGAATCTTATATAATTTGTACATTAATCTCACCAGTAATTCACTCTTCAATAACCTAGGAATCTAATAATTACTAAATGAATCGTACACGATTTATATCGCAATGAAAAGATCTTGCTTTAATCTTATAAGAAACTTTTAAAAAGTAATTTCTTTACAGGATCATCTAAGAATATGGTATTAATTATGTATGATTCTGAAGTGTTTCATGAAAAGATTATTTATCAGTATTAAAAGACATGGCGTTAACAAAACTGTAATTTTCCAACTTTTTTTCGTTTTTGGCATAAAATCGATCGATCGGAGTTACTTTATCGTTTATACTTTAATTATGGAGAAGGATTTTTTAATCTGTAAAGGCAATTAGAAAAATACTTGTTTGGAAAAATTGATAAAACAGATTCACTTTAGGATCCTCTTAAGTCCTAAATACAATATAATACGAAGCAAATAGCAACAATAAGAACAGCGATAGAACTAGACACAAAATTCCAATTCGTCGAAAATTTTATCGCTATTGCCTATTCCGTATTTCTGCATTGACATTGATTGACATATGCATTCCTGAATGGTGAAAGAAACCCATAAGAAATCCGGATTTCTTCTACCATTACCTATATATTGGATTTATTTGTTTCTATCGCTACGCTTATCGTCTGTGGATTTCTATCCCTATCGCTGTTGCTTCGCATTGTGTTTAGGGCTTTATTTTCGCTGCAGTTGAAAATCAGCTTTGCCGATCACGGCGAAGAATATATTCAATGTGTAATCGACTCCTGATAAGAATGTAGCCTGGTGACTTTCTCCGAAAGTGAAATCTCTACTTGACGAGAGAGTTAATAATGTCGCAAAATAATTTAAATATGCACAATACAACTCACGCTTTACATTTCTTATCATAATTGTTCGTCGGCGGTTTTACGTTTGATAAGAAATCATCTTCGCAATATACTAGAAAAAAGAGTTAAGATTAAAAAAAAGAATAAATAAATAAGTCCACTTTAAATGTTTAAAATTCTGACCAAATTAAAATAAAATTCTATTTGCAATTTTATGCGCTATGTCTTTTTAGATATGTGTGTATTTTTTATATACTACGACGGGGCTTTTGGGGGGGGGGGGCAGAGATGGTGGGAGGTCAATTCAGATCGCTGATTGGCTGCCTCCCCGCGCCACAATACCCCTCTCGCCTATTTTTCCCCCCGGCCCCGCCCCCCGCGGGGCATTCCATGGTTTCATATATATATAGGTTGCGTGATCGGGTGGTACACTCGTTCCTCTGCAAGTCGTGTGTGGAACAGCATTTGAGTGTGTGAAGTCCATATTTAAATCCGCGTTAGATTCGCGCATATTGATATCTGCACGATATAAACAGTAAGGAATAAGTGAATCAGATATAGAATTGTCAAAGCAAATCTTTTTAAATCACTCATTTGTATTGAATTGTTTTTTTTTTTTTTAAAGTGGATAAAAGGTCGATCGTATTCTCCACTATGGATGACGAGACGGCGGATAAATTAGACGAGATATTTGGGTTGAAGCCGTGTCTCGTAAAGGTGCAACCCAGTTGTTGCTTGTTACCGCCGAAAATGATCTTTTACGCTCAGAAAATACGTGACATGCCGGTATACGAGGACGACGTTTGGATGATCTCGTTTCCTCGAACTGGTAAATGTTTCAGTAACACAATTCAGTAAATAATTCTAAATAAATTTTATGGTTGTGTAATAATAAAAAAAAAAAAACAAACCGATTTTTATCCGAAACGCAAAAAATTCCACGTAATTAGGGTGATTTTTGATCAAACTGTGATTGATCAAGTTATACTCAATTGGTGGTAAATTAATATCTGTAGTATCTTTTTGTTAACGCAGATAGAGTTATTAATTTTTTTACTGTTTTAACTAATATGGAAAGAAAGATTGAATTAGAGATGACGAATTATAGGTCAGAAATTTTGCCATAGGCAAGTTTAATTATTTCTACCAATGTAGTTTAATTTTAATCTTAGTTCAACTATCATCTTTTTCTAGTTTCAAGAATTAGAAAAAGATGAAGTATAAGTTAAACCAAAATTAAAGTTAATTTACATTGCTAGAAACGAGCGTTATAGTCGCCGATTGAATAAATCGGAGTTTGATCAAGCAGGTGTTATCTCTAATTCCCAATCAGCAAATGCTTTTAAAATATACTTTTGACACATTTATTTTAATATTAAAAATATAAAATAAATAATAAAAAATATATTTTAAAACTTTGCCTGATGATTGGTTCTCTTTTCCCAAACGTTACTTCTTACAATCTACGATTGATTTTCAGGAAGTCACTGGGCACAAGAAATGACATGGTGCATCGGGCACGATTTTGACTACGAAGAAGCCCGAACGATCATATTAAAGCGGAGTCCTATGCTCGAGTAAGTAGATTCACGAATCGAATCATTATTTTATAAATTGCAAGAGAAATTACACTATCTAGGTAGAGCAAGTAGATATTATTGTCATCATTTTGACGTTACAATGTTGTCATAATTAAGTGTCATTTTAATGTTAAAATGACGATAAATAATGTTAGTTTACTACCTGGGTATATTTATCATTTTCCAAATGTCTTCCCTCGTCAGGGGTTCGGTTATCATGATCAACGGGAAGTATGATGAATGGTTTAAAGATCTGGGTAACTCTGTCGAAAATATAGCAAAGATGCCACGGCCGCGATACATCAAAACTCATCTACCTTGGGACTTATTACCGCGGCAGCTTCATGAGAAAAAACCAAAGGTGATGATGCGACGCACAAGTGAAAAGTCGCGATTATTTTTGCCTTTGTATTGATTTTTCTTTTTGCAGATAGTTTATATCACGAGAAATTCAAAAGACGTCTGCGTTAGTTATTATTATTATTGCAAAGCATTCCACGGTATAAATGGAAGCTTCGATGATTTCGCAGAATTAATGCTACGTGATAGTGGTACGTTGAACGATACGTTATTGATTCACGATATGTTCGTCACAATTTTTAAAAGAATTTATAATTTTGGAAGAATTTTAATAGACACTCCAGATCGAAATTAGAGTTAAATGTCAGAAATAATTAGGGCTCTAATTTTATTCCGTTTTTCGAAGATACGCGTAAACGTGAAACGTTTATCCGTTTATATTCGCTTTCAAAAAAACGTTTACTTGAAGGTAAACGTTTACACATTTAATTAGCATATCCGTTTATAAAAGAAACATTTTCCCGAATATACGTGTTTTATTATACATTTAAACGAAAATACATTTACATGTATATTTAACATATCCATCTATGAAAAACATCTTTTCGAATATTTTAACGTTTTTTAATAAAATTAAAAATCGAATTTTTTGCATTTTCTCAATTCGTCACACTCCTTAATAAAGGGATAAACGTTTATATAAAAAAAGTGAAAATATTCGGAAAAACGATTCTACTAAACGGATATGCTAATTATACGTGTAAACGTATTTTCGTTTAAACGTATAATAGCAAACCCTAGAAATAATGTATGTTTAGTGCCATTCTCTCCGTTTTGGGATCACATTCTGCCTTTCTGGAAGTCGAGAGATCAAGCTAACATATTATTTCTCACGTATGAAGAAATGAAACGGGTAAAACAATTGGTTTTGGAATAAAGCTTCATTTGATTTTTCTTGTTAAATTGCGCGTTGTGCTTTGCAGGATCAGGTGGCAGCGATTAAGAAAACAGCGAAATTTTTAGGCAAAAACGTGACGGACGAGCAAGTTGCCGGATTATGTGAACATCTGAAATTTTCTAAAATAGCAGCGAACCCTTCGGTGAACGTACAACTGCTACTAGACAAGGAGGAGACAAAGACCGATTCGAATTTCAAATTTATCAGAAAAGGCGAAGTTGGCGATTGGACGAATTACATGTCAAAGGATCTCGCTCGACGATTTGACAAATGGACGGAGGAACATCTACGTGGGACCGGCCTAAACTTCGATGTGAATGTTATATCAGACGAAGACTAGGAAGCTTCGTGTTCTTCGCATGAAACAGCCATGACGATTGCTGTTTTAGATTTACATTACAATTACGCATAATTATTACATCACGATTTACTTATTGTGGACATTTATCCGATTTATCGTATCTAATTATAAGAGCAAAGTAAAAGTGCATCGCTTAATAAAATCGCCATTCCCGGAAAAAAATGTTCTATACCCAGTGAGAAATGACAATGGAATCATCAAATTGACGTCGAATCGACGTCGATTCGATATCATTGTCATTTCTTACTGGGCATATGGACATATTTTATATATAATTATATATAAAATATGTCGATTTTTTAATATAATTATATATAATT